GTTTTGATGTTTATCTGACTCTTACCTGCTTCCTTCTGGGAATTTAGCAGACCACAGGATCTATTCATTGTATTCTATACAAAAGACAACCACCACAGAGATTTAATTTAAATAACTGTTAAAAATAAATCATTAATAAGTTTCTGCGATTTTGGTACCAGAAGTCAAATATGATTAAGGTGGATGAATCTAATCTGGCCTTTCCCCAAATGTCCTTACATATAATTTGGATTAATGATGCACTTAGAGTTCAATAGTAAAAGCGAAAACAACAACAACAACAACACATGGATCATGGGAAAGCACATTTATGGGCTGAATGGTTTTACAAAGTGAAAATTATTCTAATCAATTTTTAACCTACACCACAATTCTCAAGCAAGTAATGTACAACACAAAACAGGAAATTATGAGAGAGCACTTTTCATAAAACACTCACAGAATGCTTTACAGAATATAAAACAATAGATAAGAATCAGAAATAAAAAAGAAAAAAAATAAAACAAACAGAAATGGCAAAAGGTTTGAACAAGCTGAATAAAATAGCAGGTAAGAAAGTTTGAGGTCAATATCTAAATGGTACAGTGCCTTAGAGGATGGGAGTAAAGCATTCTTGTCTCTTTCAGTGTTGTTGAGACCCAGAATTATAGGTCTCAAATGAACTGAGATGACAGAATGATGTCTTTTTCAAGGTCTGACCACATAAAGCTCTGTTTTCTTTTCTTGTTATTGTTTTAATATAACCAGCAGGTTGCATTACAAAGCCCAGAAAGTGACATTTCTACATATGTTTGTATGTATGTGTTTCACGGTTGCACTGTGTGCAGGGTTCCTGCACTCATCTTGCAACCACAGACTGTGAAAGAACAAAGTTACTCTTCCAGCTCAAAGTGTTTGAAAGAAATTGGGTGGTGGCTTTCTTGTGTACTTCCTGTGGTTGGAAAGAAGCATCGACATTTGTTTCTCATGAACACTTTAAAATGTATGATATCTTACTAACCGCACTTTGTTCTTTGCAGCCAAAGCTGTTCTTGTTACTAATTTGGCATCACTGTGTTGAACTGGGTCACACTATGCACTTTAACACAACAATCTAACAAATTAAAAGTTTAATTCCTTATTTTAGAATAATCTAATATCAGAGCATGTCACCTTTCACTAACATGTTTCCTTAGCCCTGGACTGAGATAAATAATTCTGTTCGGCTTGTTCAGGATCTGGAAATTCAGACACACACATGCAGATATGTACACATAACAACTGAGAGCACCTTGAATATAATTAAGGCTATTTTTCAAGAGCTACATCACCTTGAAGCTCGTAAACGTACATTTAAAGAAAAGCCTACCTTTGAAAAGGGATCTACGTGTCTGGTAAGTACTTTACTCCTGCACTATGTGAAGCAAGCGGTTGTGTGCCAACAATATCCCCACACAAGTTCTTATACCCAGTTGAGATTGCTTGAGAGTTGAGTGGGTGGGGCTTAGCAATAGTAGCAACTTAGTAGGTTAAGAAGTGATACATAGACTAGTGAACTAGTATTATTTTTGGGG